CAGCTAACCTACCGGAGTAGGCCGTTCACGATCCGCCCTGTGTGACCCCGGTAAGGTCCTGAGCTTAGCCCTTACCGCCATTGCGGTATTACTCCTCTTCTTATTACGATTATTATTATTAGTAGAATTAGTATTATTTTGTTATTATAAATGTTTTTAGCTATTATTAATATTTATAATTATAATTATCATTAATATTTTATAATTATATTACTATTGCTGTTGTTGTTATTAATTTTAATACTATAATGATAATAATTATTTTTTTTTTTATAATTTTCTTTTGTTCTTCGTGCCATCTGCATCTTTCATTGGTTTGAATTGGGACCTTATTTTTTTTGTGCTTCTTCTTCTTCCTCTTCTTTTTCTTCATCTTATTTAGGTTTCTTCGGCTAGTTCCTCCTCTTTCAGGGTCTCCACTGTCATGGCAATTGCTCCACTGCTGGCAATTGCCGAGTGTGTGACTTCAGTCTCTGCTGAAATTTACCTATTCGCCGCTGTGCGCCGAATTAGGCTCAGACGATGCCACGGGGGAATTTTCACCTGAGGCGTTGCTCTCATAAAATGGTTTGAGATCACTCACGTGCGGTGTTCTTCTTTTCCCTTTGTGCACCTTGTCGAGTTCTACGATCACAGGTGAGATAAAATTTAGAACGCGATGTGGTCCGCCGTATTTCGGTGCAAGCTTAGCCGCGAAATTGTCCACGGCTTTAGACAAGAAGTGTTCTTTCACCAAAACCCTGTCTCCCACGACCGGTTGCCACGATCTTCTTCGCAGATTGTAGTGTCTCGCTTGCTCTGTCGTTGCCTTTTGTTGCTTTCGTCGCACTAACTCAAACACCTCTTTCATTCTCACCGCTTTTACTTGCGGTGTTGTGGCATCTTCGCCGGTTCCTAACGTATTCTCGTCATACAATGCGTTCGGTAACCTTGGTTCTCGCCCTTGGACGACGAACGCCGGGCTGTAACCCGTTGCGTCGCACACGCTCGTGTTGAGGGCCAAAGTCATTTCTGGCAACAGATCATCCCAGCTCTTCTGGTCTTTGCCTGCGAACTGCGCCAGTAGTCGCTTGATGTTACGGTTAGCTCTTTCCGTCGGATTTTGCTGCGGTGTGTACGGAGCAGTGAATTGGTGCCTTATTCCCATCTCCTCCAGGAATTGCTTAAATTTCGAGCTGGTAAACTGCGTTCCATTATCCGTGATCAAGATTTTTGGAATGCCGAATTTGCCGATAATCCGCTCTCTCACTGCTCGAATTACTCCCTCCGCTGTTGCCTTCCACATTGGTACAATCTCGACCCATCTTGAGAAACGATCTAGTATTACCAGCGCCATAGTGTTTCCATGCTTGGATCGCGGAAGAGGTCCTACGAAATCAACACACACTGTCGCCCAGGGTTCTTCGGCTAGCTGCGTCAGCATCTTTCCGGCTGCTTGCTGCTGGCTTGGTTTGTAAAGCTGGCACGTTTCACACTGTCGCACGTACTGCCTCACGTCACGGAACATGCCTGGCCAATAGTACCGCGCTGTCGCCCGCGCTATCGTTTTTCGGATGCCCATATGGCCTGCACTGGGAACATCGTGAATTTCTCGTAACACCCTCTGTCTTTGCTCTGCCGGCACGCATAGTTTCCATGGCAACACGTCTTCACCGTCAATTTGTCCTGATATTCGCCTGTACTGCTCACCATTTTCGATGACAAAATCAGGAAACTTCTGTGGGGACCTCTCCACCTCCGCCATCTTGTCTTTCAGCCACTTGCACTCTACCGCTACTCCTCCCGCCGTCATCGAACCAAGCAATGTTTCCTGGGGCTGTCTTGACAGCGCGTCCGCTACCACATTCAGCTTACCCTTGCGATACTGCACATCGAAGGAGTACTGCTGCAGTTCCAGCGCCCACCTTGCAATCCGACCGGATGGACTCTCTATCTTACTCAGCCATTTTAGCGCTAAGTGGTCGGTGATGACGGTAAACGTATATCCTTCTAGGTAGGGTCTCATTTTTCTGATCGCCCACACTATGGCCAGGCACTCTTTCTCCGTTGGTGAATAATTAAGTTCGGCCTTGTTGAGCCGGCGACTCGCATATGCGATTACGCGTTCTTTTCCTTCAATCTCTTGGGTGAGAACAGCTCCCAGCCCGTAGTCGCTCGCGTCTGTTTGCAGAGTGAACTTCTGCGTAAAGTCGGGGCAAGCCAACACTGGTGCCTCGGTTAGCGCGTTCTTGAGCGCCTCGAACGCTGTCTGTTGCTCGTCGTTCCATTTCCACTTGTGGCCCTTCTTTAGCATGGACGTCAGCGCATGCGCCACTTTGGAAAAGTCGGGGACAAATCTTCGGTACCATGAAGCTATCCCTAGGAACCTGCGTAACTCCCTTATATTTGTCGGTGGTGTCAGCTCTTTGATAGCCGCGACCCAGATACTTCAACTGCTTCTTGAAAAACTCGCATTTTTCTGGGTTGATCCTAAGATTCGCCTGCCTAAGCCGTCGAAGGACCTCCGAAAGATTTTGGACGTGCAGGGTTGCGCTGATGACAATAATGTCATACAGGTAGGCAAACGCATACGGCTCTAGCTCTGGACCGATAACTTGGTCTAACGCACGCTGGAATGTCGCGGGGGCGGAGTGGAGCCCAAACGGCATTACTCGCCATTGAAAAAGGCCACGCCCTGGCACTGTAAAAGCAGTGTACTGCTTGCTCTGCTCTTCCATCGGGATTTGCCAGTAACCGTTTTTCAGGTCAAGGCTGCTAATGTAACGTGCGCTTCGTAGTCGGTCAAGGATATGTTGGATCTTCGGTAGGGGGTACGCGTCGGGCACTGAACGCTCGTTCAGCTGTCGGTAGTCGACGCAGAGTCTCCACTTGCCGGTCTTCTTCTTCGCCAACACTATCGGGGCGCTGTGCGAGCTGTGTGAGGGTTCAATACACCCTTTCTCGATAAGGTCGTCGGTTTCCGCGTTGATGATTTCCTGCATCTTCGGGTTCTCCGGCAATACCTCTGCTTGATCGGCCGGTCATCCTTCATGACGATCCGGTGAGTGGCAATATTTGAAACTCCAGACATCTTCTCAAATTTGCGTAACTCTGACATTAGGAACTCCCTCGCTTCGTCGGTTGTCGTGGCTTCTGTAGATATTGGGTTTGATTTGGGTTCATCGCATTTACCTGACCTTTCTGCACCTCCCTCGCGCATTGCCGTGAACGTTTCTACTCCTTGTGCGCAGCTCCCTTCTCGGAGTGTCACGTCTAAGTCTCCGCAACATAATCGGACCCCCGCTTTTGCCAGGTAATCGGTTCCAAGCACCACGTCATCCATCAAACCAGGCAGTAC